TCTGTGTCCACTTGCCTTCAATGGCGGTTGCTGCTTGCTACTCGATTGCGGACCGGAAGAAGTGCTAAGACAGCAGGCAATTAATTTGCATGCAAATCATTTCAAAGTTTCTATGAAATCTACATAAAAAGTGAGGTAGGTGGTTAAGGCTCTTGGCGCGAGAACATACACACAGCGTTATATACAAAAACTTGATTGCTAACTAAGGCTGAGTTCGAGAAATTATTTCGAAGTACATAACACTCTACAAGAGCTTTGCCTACTTTTAAAGCTCACTGTAGTCTTCTTGAAAAGATTCGCTTCACCAGAGATTTTATTCGGCATTGATTAACCCTTTTATGACCAAGGGAAACTATTTCCCAAAAAGTTATTCCACTCATATGGATATTGTGTTAGCTTTCGATAGTATTTTATATTTTTACCATATGCCTAAGTTAGCTATTTTTATGAAGAAATTTTAGAAAAACTATTTTTTATCAAAATTTTTCAAAATAATTTTTTTTGCAAATTTAAAATAAAATAATTTAATCAATTTTTAGGAAAGAAATATGTTTACCGAAATTTAAAAAAGTACCAAACATTAGAAAACAATTTTTTGGATAATAATAAAACACTAGTTTATTTTTTTCTTAATTTTTTAGGAAAAAAATATTTTTTAAGAAAATATCAAAATAACAAAAGCTTTGTATGTTATTTGTGGGCAAAATATTATTTCTTTCGGCAAAACATAATATTTTGAAAAAATTTGTTAGGGAAAAAATTAAAAAAAGTCAAAAAATAATTTTGGAAAAAATATTGTATAGGAAAACTTGATAATATTAACGAAAAGTTAGCACAAAATTAATTTTTAGTTAAAATTAATTAAAATATTTGGCACAAAATTATTTTTGACATTGAATTATTATTTTAAATATGATTTTTTTATTAAGCCCTCAATTAATAACATTTTACAATTCAAATCATGAGTTCTTTCAACTATAGACTTATGGTCCTTAGAGGGTCAACACTTCTTCGCGCTGACTTCAATTTTTTTCTTTGTAGTAGTATTTGCCTTTTATTTTTTCGCTTAACTTTACGGTCTTCTACCTTACCGAAATAACTTGATTTATGTGATTTTTAATGACTTTTCATCAATCTTAGGCCTTTCGTGAAAAATTTCTTTTACTCACTTCTCGCCCTTGCTGCTTCAGTTTCGGGAGAGACCTGTACGGCAAATAGCCGTCAGACAGCTTATCAAAGGCAGACTATGGGCAGCTATGGCAACGTGCGTCGGCGTTTCTGTCTGATTGGTAAGAAACTCAACATATAAAGAAAAAAGGTTAAATTTTGATTCATAAAAAAGCCTAAAAGATGCATTGAAGATAAGGCGAGATGAGGCAGTAATTTGAGGTGAGGTGTTATTGCTAAAAAAGGTCAATGAAATGAAAGCAAAAAATTACAAAAATCTTTAGCTAAGACTGTCTATGCAGAACAAAATCTGTCTTAAAATTAAATAAACTATTGCAATATGGCAGAAAATTAGCAGACGAATAGATAGAGTGACCAATTATATCTCAATTACGCCCACGAAAGAAGGTCCTTTATCCGATTTTTTATAATCAGCCCTTCTTTAGATAAGCCGCCTTCGACTAGCCACTTCTCTGCTCGCTATGTTTCAGTACCGCTCGCTTTGCGAAAAATTTGTATGTGAAAGAACAAAATTAGCTAGTAGCGAGGAACGATGGCGAGTTTGGTTGTACCTCATTGATTTCGTTCGTTTTGCCACTCGCTAACCGTTGGCGGCTATTTTTTCACAGTCGAAAGTTAACTTACATACGCAACAGAGAAACTTTTGTTGTAGTTGTTTCTTGCAATACGCAGTGATGATTCCAACAATCATCCTCAGCTGAGGGTGCGTAATGAGAATGAAAGTGCTGGACGTCCAGGTTGGTCAATATTTGACGAGTTATCCCGCATGTCGGTTCTGTAAGACATCTTCT